TGGTTGCCGGGCGGGTGTCAGGCAGCGCGCGGAGGGGGAGCTGTCCCTTATCCTAGGCAGGGCGCCTGGATTGAGAGCCTGTTCTGAAGATTCAATAGAGTATGGCCTTCCTGGGTGAGAAGGCTCTGCTCAAATGCGGGTGAAAAGAGTCAAAGACCACCGTGATCAGGGGGAGTCACGTGCTCCACGGTCGAGTCTGTCGAGAATGCTGCTGTCTGCCCACTTCATCACCTCATTGAGAGGCAGAATCTGTTCAGAGGTAAGCTGAGGATTGAGAATCTCCGTTAGTCTTGCTTATGTTGGAATAAAGTGATTTGATCAAGCAAATTGCATCTAAGAACCTGAGATGTCTCTTTCTGTCCTCATCGGAGCTTCCGCGGAGTGTCCATGGCACGGGATGTTGATGGCAACAGAGGCCTTGACTTCCAATCTCCTGTCACACGAAGCTGAATGCTGTCCCTCCGTGGAGTCTCCGAATATCCTGTACTAGGCTCAGTAAGGATGCTCAAGGACTGGCATTATATAACGATGTCTTCTCTTGATCTATTGCAGACTTTTCATCGTACCACGCACATCCCTGCAATCACACTGTCGGGTAACAAGAGGATCGCTTTTCTCATTCAAGCTACCTTGTGTTTATCAAATGGCATCGGAGCGACAAATTGATATGGCTGACGAGAAGCCACCTAGCGAGTACACGTACGTTCAGAACTCATCACCACAAAACAAATTGTCTCCGAGTATGGACTAACTCATGCATCTTCTCTAGACCACGAGCGAACTTGACCATTCTGGGCTCTTTCACGGGGCTCTTTTGCACCGTGGGCTTCTTGAACTCGTTTGGTATCTTTGAAGAGTACTATGCGAAGAACCAGCTTGCGGATAAGTCTGAATCGACAATCGCATGGCTTGGGGCTCTCAGTATCTTCTTTGTCTTCTCCGCGTCCGTAGTGTCTGGCCCTCTGCTTGACGCGTTCGGTCCCAAGGTAAGTCTCTAGTACTACTCCTGAACTGCGATGTAGCTGACAGACTCGTTAGCTATTACTCTATGTAGGGTCGTTCGGGACTGTATTCTCAATCATGATGACCTCACTCTGCAAGGAACTCTGCCAATTTATTCTCGCGCAAGGTATCTTGCTCGGCGTATCTCTGGCACTTTTGGTGTGCCCCATGCTTGCTCTCGTCGGTCAGTATATCAAGGTCAAGCGTGGAGCCGCTATGGGGATCGTCATTGCAGGTTCATCCCTAGGTGGTGTCATCTGGCCCATTGTGATTAACGAGCTTCTGAAAAAGCCCAATATCCGATTTGAATGGACGATGCGCATTGTTGGATTCATTATGATACCTCTTCTTGCCATTTCATGTCTTTGCTGTCGGCCTCCTAAGACTCAGCCAACCACGAAGCCGCTGTCAGAGAGACCAGATGGCAACGAGACTGTGATCCCGGAGCAGGAACCTGTGAATACTCCCAAAACGGAGTTTTCGATCTTGAGAGAGCCCAAGATGCAGGTGACTTGTCTCGCATTCTTCATCACTTATTTCGGAATGTTTTCCCCTTTCTTCTACACCACATCCTATGCCGTGGCACAGGGCTTCTCCGCCGACTTATCATTCTACACAATCTCCATCATTAACGGAGCGTCCTTCTTCGGCCGCATTGTTCCAGGCATTCTTGCGGACCGATATGGTCGGTTCAACTGCTGCATTCTCGCGACACTGTTATCCGGTGTCATCGCATTATGCTGGACAGCGGCCACGTCCGTTGCGGGCTTGGTAGTTTGGTCTGCAGCATATGGATTCTCTTCTGGAGTGCGCCTTATTCAAGTCTTCATCCCCTATTATAAGGAGTGCTAATACCCTCTTAGGCTATTCTCTCCCTGCAGCAAGCATGTGCAGCCCAGATCGCTACACCAAAGAACTTAGGCTTATCAATTGGTGCCGTCATGGCATCTACATCTCTTTCGTATGTACCTACATGTTTCAAAATGCAAAGCTAACTTTTACATAGCGCAATGTCAGGCATTCCTATCAGTGGCGAACTGGCGGGCAAATACGGATATCTTTCGCTTTCTATCTACTCGGGTGTCAGTCTCTTAGCCGGTACTTTGCTACTTGCGGTAGCGCGTCTGATGCAGAATCGTGATTTGCTAGCATCAGTCTGAGGTTTCGGGATTTTTCTGCAACATTTTGATCGAGTTGTCTGGGGTGCCGCGATGTGATTGTGTAATAGGCTCTGATAGCCAAGGTGTTGACTAGACCTAGAGTTTCTGTTCAGCTCTCCTTGTCGTGTTTCTCATCTCATCAGTTTTATGTCCTCCACATTATTGAAGCGAGTGTAAAAACAATGCTCAGTCCAACTCGAATACTATTCGATCTGCCAAGTCTGTACTAAAGGCTTGACATGCGATACTCACCATGTGGCACGCTTGAGGCACCGCATCCATGGTATGAGGATAACAGAAAATGCATCTTTCGTCCCAATCATATTCGGTTTCTCTTCCGAACTTCCCCCCAATCTCTACCAAACATAGCCAGATTATCAATCACCACCTTCCATCTACAGTCGCCAAGAAGCCAAGTGGCCCGGCACGCCCTTTGCCAACAAGCAACTAGGGCTTGGTCCCACTGATAAGAGATCGAAGGACAAATCTGAGCGATGATCAACCCGTAAGTGCCCAGAATGGCAGGACAAAGCGAATTGCCGAAGTCGCTAAGAGTAATCGTCGAATATCGAGTACTCGAGTCTTTACTTCGCGTCTTTGTCCCGTCCTAGATAAGCATCCGGTTTCCCCGGATATCCGGACAGGCTGGGGAATACGAAGCTGCCAAGTGCATGACTCGGTATGATATGATAAGGTCGCTCTCAGCACTACAGTAGTACCTAAGGTAGACGAATCCTTTGCCAAAAACGGTAAGAGTGGTTGACAGATACGAAGATTAGCTTGTTTATTCATCGTGAGCAGTTCGATAAAGAGATAACGGGCAAGATCCGGCTGAAAAGAGGAGCATGTTGTCTGAATGGTCGTGAACACGCCCCCGTTTTGGGACAGAATGTCGAGTTACGTAACCTCCTATATGGCCATGAGCTGTTATCATCTAGGTCGTTTGAGATATGAAAGTCATCGGTTATGCTGATATCGTTCGAGCGCTTGAGATAGGAACTCTTGCGACGGCCGCATGAATGATGTATCCTTGAGCATATAAGGGAAGAAAAACCGCATAAGACACAATGGTCAGGCAAATTGACACCTCTATCCAAGATGAAGCGCATTACACATCGGCTCTTCGTAGCCGTCTTTCTATTGAGCATCGGCCGGGCAGCAGTGGTGAAGAGAGAGCCTGAACTGCTTCGATTCCGAGGCCCAACCTCCATCACTACGGACTCACTGCACAATATCCACGTGGAATTCGTCGAGGATGCTTTCGAAGGGGAAGTTCACCTTGTCTACGGAGAATGCGACATTTCCAGCGCCAGCTATGGTCACCATGCTATTGGCAGCGCTTTCATCCAACGCGAAGCGAAAGCAGAACGATTTGTCTGGATCACCCCGTCTGACACTCCCCATCTGCACTGCCTGCATGCATTTTCCGGTTCTTCTCTGATTGGACGGTCCGCTCCCATTTCCGTGACTGCGCCTCTCATCAAGCGCGAGGCGATTGCTGATGTCGCGGACGCGATGGGCCCCTGGTTTGATGGTGTTGCATACATGAAAGCCAAGGAGCCCAATAAGCATGTTGTAGCCAAAGCCAAGAACTCCTCGGTTGCCATCGTCGGCGGAGGCATGTCTGGGCTGATGACAAGTCTGCTTCTCGAGTCTGTGGGTATTCACAATTGGCACATCTATGAGTCGACGAACAGGGTGGGTGGGCGAATTCGCACCGAGTATCTCAACAATACACGTCCCGATGAATACCAGTACCAGGAGATGGGTCCCATGCGGTTCCCTGTTAGTATCACTTACGCGGATACCAATGAGACCCTCGAAATACAAGACCACAAGATGATCTTCCAGCTGGCTGATGTGCTGAACAAGATAAACGCCGACAAACCCGACCTTCACGTCAACTTCATCCCATGGGTCCAGAAGAGTGCCAACGTGCCCGCATCATCAGGAGGCAATCGACTCCCCGACGGCCGCATCCCGACTGCAGCTCAGGTAGCGGCCAATTCATCTCTCGTCTATACAGCTCCTTCCTCGAATGCTACTGCTGCCGACGAGGCGGAGGAAGCCTACGCCAGCTACAACAAGCTCGGAGAGACGACCAAAATCAAGCAGATCGCAACAAACATGTACCAAGCACACAAGGCCGCTGTCCAAGATGGCATGTTTCACTGGTCCGAAGCCGGATACCTGCGGTACGCGCTGGGCTACGACGCCAACATCACCGACTACGTCGCCGGCACAGGCGACTCTCCCATCTGGGGGGACTTTTACGACAACGTCTACTTCGCGGCGACGACATGGCGCACCATCGACAAGGGCCTCGAGTCGCTCCCGCGCGCCTTCTACCCTCACATCGCGAACAAAACCACCTTCAACCGCAAGGTGTCCGGGTTAACCTGGAACGAGACCTCGGGCAAGATCGCCGTCAACTGGCGTGAGGATCCCTTCAAGATGACCCCCGAGGGCGAGGAGTATGATTACGCCGTCGTTGCCACACCCTTCAGCAAGGTCCGACTGTGGGAACTGCCCCGCTACTCATCTCTGCTCAGCCGTGCGATCTCTACCCTCAACTACGACCCCGCCTGTAAAATGGCGCTGCACTACAAGTCCCGGTTCTGGGAGCACCAGGAGAATCCCATCTTCGGGGGATGCGGCTCGGTCGACGTCGCGGGTATCGGATCGGTCTGCTACCCATCGTATAATATGAATGGCACGGGGCCCGGTGTGGTTCTCGCATCGTATCTGAGTGGCACGCCTGCGCGGTCAACAGCCGCGCTGAGCACGGAGGACCACGTCGCCCTTGTTCAGCGGACGATGGTCGAAATCCACGGGCCCATCGCGGAGAAGGAGTTCACGGGGATCTTCTACCGTCAGTGCTGGGAGTTTGATGAGCATCAGGCTGGTGCTTGGGCCGATCCTCTGGTCGGTCAGCAGGAGCTTTATCTCCCTGCTTACTACCAGACTGAGTTCAAGACTATCTTTATCGGCGAACATACCAGCTATACTCATGCGTGGATCTTCTCGGCGCTGGACTCGGCGGTTCGGGGCACCACACAATTGCTGCTTGATTTGGGGTTGGTGGATGAGGCAAAGAGCATTGTCCATGAGTGGATGGGACGATGGATCTCAGTCTAAGCTTTCTGCGCTTTCCTTGGATGAGATTGCTTGTAAATATGAATGGCGCCTTCTCATGATAATACGGGACAACCTTCGTCTCTATAGTGGACTCTAGCTCCGAAAAGAGTATCCTTGAGATGATCCAGGGCATTATACACTAATTGTACAAGACGAAAGAGAAGCATTTCCCCCGAGTGCCATGTCTCTGTATTCTGGTAGGATGGCGGTGGCTGCAGCAAATCTGATATGGATGGTTCATGGGAATAAAATCATAAAGAGGAAAGAGGAAAGAGGAAAGAGGAAAGAGGAAAGAGAAAAGAGAAAAGAGAAAACAAAAAATGGACTCGCGGGGAATCGAACCCCGGACCACCCCCATGCTAAGGGGGTATTATACCACTAAACCACAAGCCCATTTGTTGAAGGGCAGGGTCCTTATTCCGCCATAGAGACGAGATCAGACAAACTCTAATGAAGTGTGCATCAGCTGCCATGAAGAGGTAAATCAGAGTAAAATCAAGTTAGAAGGAACTGACGAAGAAAGATCCAACCATATATAGCAACTCTTTACATGACCGACAGTAAAATCTCCTACGCGAAAAGTCTATTGTTGAGGCAAATCCTCGCGACCATCCTGCCAGCTGGTACAGTTGACACAGCGCAATGCCTACAACACATTAGACACTCTGGATATTCCACATTCAAACAGGATGTCAATACCTTTTCACTGATGTACTTCCGACAATATTTGCATCGCACTGTCTGCTTAATGACCCGATCATGGGAGATCCACATGTAGAGATGCCCGATCGCGTACAATGTCAGACTGACACCGAGAAAGCTGACCACTGTCTCGAGAAACGCACTGTGCGACTCCGTCAGCTCATTAAACTTTGAGTTGGTGTATAATCTGGCTTGGAGATCATACCCATAAGCCAGTACAAGGGCGCCGTCATCTCTCGCCTGCTCGAGGGTATTGTACCCTTTCTCCTTGACATAATGCGGTCCCCGTCGGAGCACGGCAAACTTTTCGTCCAAATTGCGATGCAAAAATGGAAGAAGAGAGACAATGGGGAGAATGATATCGGAGACGAAAGAAGTAACCACCTTGGTAAATGCTTGAGCGATACTAAATGATGTCAGTCAGTTCCCTCTTTGAGAGGTCGTTGGGGACAGTCCTACATCAAACCCAATGCAACCTCGAGGACGTTATCTCGCACGGCAAAATTGAGGAAGCCATCCCAAACACGCTTGACTGAATTCTGGGCGCTGTGGCCCACCCGAAGGAGCGCTTCAGTGCTATCGTCGAGGCGAGGCATGTCCGTTGTTGAATGTGTCGGGAATTGGAAGAGGATCGTGTGGACTGTGGACAGTGGCGGGTCGATCATTTATATAAGTGTTGCTTTCATCATCCCGTCATGTGCCGCTGTCAATCAATAAACGTAAAACTTGGAAGTGATTATGCATAGCCAATCATTGTCATCGGATGAGATTTAAGGTTATCGGCAATTCTGGTCTATTATTCTCAAGGGCAAATATAGTTAGATATCCGATATCTCACAGCTGCGTAAAGACCAGCTTCGGGTGCGCGACTTGTCAGATGAAACCTTGGCTCCAGACCATGATAGGGTGTGACGAATGCTGAGTCGCTGTCAGCAGCTATACAGAAAACTGATACAATGGCGAGATATAGGGCCCGACAAGCAATATCTTGATGCATGGATCAATAACACCAGCGACGACTACTATGGGCCATTGGGATACCGCGTCTGCAATTCAGATCTTCCAGTCTCCGATGAAGTGTGTATCATCACGGCGGAGTGGCTAGCCTTTGCTTTACTAGTCACACTAGCTGAGATAAGACTTGTTCAACATGAACAATTGGTCTTCCAGACCGAACGGGGTTATATGACAGGAGATAGCCATGTTCTGGATGAGTTGTTTCGACGATTCACCCTATAACAGAACAGGCTGCGTGAAATACTACTGCTGCCGTGCTTTGGACAAGCTGTTTCAGAGGGCATCGGCCTCACCGAGGGTAGGTGTCGCTCTCGTTGCTCCCGAGCTGGACTCTGGCCCAAGGCACTGTCCTGATCACTGAGCTGGGGCTCGGCCGGTGAGATGCGACGCTGGCATTGAGCCGTCTCGAGTCAGGTCCTTTTCTTCTTTCATACTTTGACATGGCCTGTATCATCCGTCAACGCCGACTGAACGTGAATGTATTCGGAGACAGTCTATACCAACCCACAAACATCAAGCACTTTCTTTATCAAGTTCTGACTCACCGTCCTTCTTTCAGACCGACCTCAGCCGCTCCGATGGAAGGCCACTGGTTAAACGCAATGACCCACTATTATTGTCTCCTATCTTTCAAACCTAGCGAGGTTTTCGGTGCACACTTGATAGATCCCAGTTTAGCGCCTTAAGGATTTTACGTGGCTTACAAGCTATAAGCGGATTTGCTCCTTTGCTGAAGCAAATGCGAGGTGGGTGTAATCTCATACTCGTACGGCACTGTTCTGAATCTCAATCTATGGCAATCATGGCATATCAACATGACTTGGGCCTTATCTATCCACAGTCATCAGCCTTGACTGGAATACCTTTCCGGCTCCATCTTCTCCAGGTCTAGATCCCTCGAAGCGCCCCTCCCGGATACAATGGAGCTTGTCTGCCATTGATGATCTTTGCTCGTTGGTTATGGACGGATTTGAGTGCTGCCGTTTTGCCGCACCGGAAAAGGAAAAAAGGAGCTGGAAGATGACCAATCCTTTGCCTAATTAGAATATATCCCACCTGCCAAGCTTTTGTCAAACAGTCCGGTTGCTCTTTTTGAGACATTGGAGTTGATGGAGTGCTTGGCACGCGCCTAGAGGCTATTGTGAGACCGACTGGGTGTCACACTAGGGAATTAGGGTCCTTCAAGGTGCAATATTCATCAACTTGCGACAGAGGGTATGCTCTCCGAGATCCTTGAGGGCAATCAAATTGAAGCTCTACTATTGCCACAATCTGCAGTGAAGCTATGCGAATAAGATATAAGCCTGCGATTTGCCATGCTTGACCTACTTCTTCTCGTCCCTTCCCAGTCCATTCTTTCTAATTTTACTACTGTACAGTCATTCTTTGTTGGTTATTCAGCTCCAGTCGTTGATCGACTCTACATTCTTTCACCATGTATTTCATTGCCCTGGTAGCCGCGGCTGGACTCGCGCACGCCTACACTGTGGTCACCGCCGAGCAGTTCATGATGAAGAACATAGATCCTATTGTTCTTCCTGGCCAGTACAAAAGCCACATGCACAGCTTCTTTGGATCCGATGCCGTCACCATCAACACAAACACCTCGGCCGAGCTCCAGGCCGGTTGCTCGACCACCGAGAACCCCAACGACCTTTCCGTCTACTGTACGCTTCTCATCATTTCAAACCATAAGCGAATCTGACCAAAACAGGGATCCCGACCTTATACCTGACCGAAAACAGCCAACACGCCCCCATCAAGCCCATGCGCTTCAGCGCCTACTACGTCAACATCGGCGACGCCGAGATCCCCTTCCCCCAGAACTTCAAGGCCGTCGCCGGCAACGCCAAGGGCGCCTCCCAGGCCGACGTCGAATCCGTCTACGGCATCCAGTGGATGTGCGAAGGCGTGTCCAACACCGACGGCGGCAAGGACGTCGCCGCCTTCCCGACCAAGACCTGCCCAACCCATCTCCAGTCCATCCTGCTGTTCCCGGACTGCGTGAACCCAGATACCCTCGAATACGCCTACTCGGGCACCCAGAACTGGAGCGGCAGCTTCCGGCCCGCGAACCGCTGCCCCGCGAGCATGAAGCGTCTCCCGCAGCTGCGGTTCTCCGTCCGCTATGATCTGCGCAAGCTGCTGCCGGATGGGTGGTCGGGTACGCCGCCGCTTGAGTTGGCGTGCGGCTCGTCTTACTGCTGGCATGGCGATTTCATCAACGGATGGGTTCCCGAGGCGGCGGAGAATATGCTCAAGGCGACTGATAAGCGGGAGTTCATGCAGGTGGATGGGCCGCTGGGTGGGGGGAAGGATGGGTCTAAGTGTGGAGCGAAGAATGCGCACGACCAGGATCCCAACCATGGAACGAGTGATTGGGCGACGAGTGTGAAGATGATGTCGAGTAAGAGGAGTATCGGCCAGCGTCGTTGATCTGGAATGACCCCTGGGATTTGCTGTGGATGTCCGGAGCATCATAGTAGGCAGGTTATTAATAGGGCTCTTTTGCAACCGTGTAAATAGTCAGCTTTGGCTCTGGTGCCGGCCTCTGTGTAGGCTTTCATTCCTAATCAGGCAGTCCCGTCCTGCTGCCCAGACTGCTGCATCTACAGCTTGATCAATAGTATGAGCGTGCTATACACACTTGAGGGTTTCATTTTCCTGGAAGAAGAGGGTATTGGTACATAGTAAATTGGGCATTTTCTTTCCAGCTAAAGGCCGGTAGAGGGAATGCGCCGGCCTAGTCAAGCATTCAGTTTTAATTAGGCACATTGCGGAATATTGCTGCACTACTAACTTTGTTATTTCTAAAAACTTATTCACCTCCTTATCAATAGGTTAGGCAGTTAGAGTAAGTCCTCTTCTTCCCATCACTTTCGGCTGCAGGTCTTTGTATCTAATCCTTGTGTGCATCCACCTACTGCGCGAATGAGACCGTCTGTAGGACTAAGCAGCGTCAATACTCGTCAATACGAATACAGATATCATGAACCGACCAGCCTTCACTTCAGATGTCCGAGCGTGGGTGGACAGGGGAAAGATGGGGAGGGACGTCGATATGGGCTGCTGTTTTCGTGAGGAAGACGTCTGCTGCAGTCTTTGTCGAGCTGTAGCCATCACGGAAAATAAAGGTCATGGGGAATCCGACGTCAAAAGGGGCCGCATTATCGATCTCGGCGAGGTCATTTTCTGACAGACTGATACTTAATGCTTCGACATTGGCTTTGAGATGCTCAACCTTGCGTTGGCCAATGATTGGGAAGACATATGGTGCCTTGTGCAGAACATAGGCAAGTGCCTAGGTATACCGGCAGAATTAGCCAAGAGCCTACCACAATGATATCTATACCTGTAGGATCCCTGAACAACATACAATAGCATGAAGGTTTGTTTTCTTTTGGTTCGCAATCTTCTCCAGCGCCTCAGAGACTTTGATGTCGTGTTCGTTGACAGCCGAGGCTCTCGCAGAGCCTTGCTCTCCTTCCTGCCGTGCCTTGGCCGACTTGAATTTCCCCTGGCCCAGAGGGGCCCAAGGAGCGATCGCCATGTTCTGGTTGCGACACATTGGTATGATCTCGCGCTCCAGGTCCCGAAACCCAGCATTCCATTTACCCTGATAGACGGAGAATGGGCGCAGACCATTCGCCCGCGCATACTCATTTGCTTTGACGACGACCCACGCGGGCGTGTCTGAGATTCCGAGGTAGAGGACCTTTCCAGCGTTTACCAGCGCGTTGAGGCCCTGCATAACTTCTTCGACAGAGGTGGTAAAGTCCCACCAGTGGACATACAGCAGATCAATATAGTCTGTTTGGAGCTTTTTGAGGCTTTGCTCCACAGAGATGCGCATACTCTTGACAGAATTGCCCACGTAGTTTGACTGGAGAGGCTCTGTGGCACGGTGGGCTGATCGAAACCCGGTTGTGTATTTGGTGGCGATGCTGGACGGTGTGAAGTCAGCGTATGCCTGGAGCAGATATGGGCCTTGGGCTTGGGATGAAATCATACACAAGTTGGTCCCGATTCTTGCGGGCTTGCATCCATTCTCCCAGCCAGATTTCAGACTCCTCATCCTGATAGTTGTTTGCTCTGCGCGGATGTCAGTCATGAAGTCTACGTCAAGAGAGGAAGGGTTATACAGACGTGTCAATGAAATTGCCCCCGAGGTCGTAGAATGCATCGAGGAGCTTGAATGATTGCTCTTTATCACATTCGCCCATGAAATCTTTCCTACATGGACAATAAGCCCCATGTGTTGTTATAGGCAGGGCGCAATTCCTACCAAGCTGTACCAAAGTTCATAGCCCCGAGGCACAACGGGGAGACCTTGATGCCGGCACTGGGCGACAAAACTCGGTGGTAACCAAGGAGGCTGGCTGGCTTGGGCGCAAACTGAAAGACTGAGGCCATGATTATAAAGACAGGACAGATTCTTGGGCGTATAAGAAAGTGTGAATGACTCTAGCCCATTTGCTGGAGAGTCTTAGGCGAGGTACACATGGGTTTTATATTGATGAATTGTATATATTCTGAATGGTCTTAACGGTCTGATTATGGGAGTATTATCATCTAGCACTTTATTTTGATCAAACATGGATCAATGATTGGACAATCTGAAATGATTATAAAATAAGGTTAGGATTCACACTAAATGCTGACATTTGCATGCCATGGTAGACCCACCACTGGAATTGGAAATGATCCATGGACCATAGGCAGGTCAATAGCAGGCCAAATAATGGAATTTACCACCGGAGATAGTTAAACCCGTCCGCTGCCTGCAGGATTCAAATACTCATCCAGGACTCTCCCTTGTACTTGCTGTCAGTCAACATGGTCAAGATTCTCCACTCAATGAAAGAGCGGCCTATCATCTTCCATCATAACCAACAATAATATTGCTCTGCTCTCACAATATTGTCAGCTTTTAGCAGTCAGCAAGCCCCGAAACCTCCATTCCCAGACAATATGCAGAGCTCCGTAGTTGCCGCCTCGTCCGTTCTGCAGCGCCTCCCGCCGGGAATCGAGGTGACGGCCCAGGACAGTTGGTTTGGGGTTTCAGACCCAGTGAAAAGACGGAAATTGCAGAATCGATTGAACCAGCGAGCCCGGCGTTGGTATTCCCCATGGCCGGTGACTTTCCCTTTTAGTACTAACGAATGGAAAAGGACACCGTCAGCGAACAGCCAACGCAAACAGCCAATTCAGCCAGCAGCGGCAGCTTCCCACTGAGCCCTCCGACCAGGTCGACCTAGTACTGCAGATTCTGTCTACAGTGCGGATTCTGGGTCCAACCGCAATCAATGCCCGGCGTACCTTGCAGCAGCTTGAAACCGTCGTTATTGCCCTAGGCAAATGCATCAGTGGGTCCCCCGTGGCTGATCTACGTCTGGGGGTAACGAGACTCAACGTCCTGCGAGCATTACATGTCAATCTGGAGGTTCTGGGTTACCGGCCAAGTGATATTGGTGACAATGCGCAATCAGTCTTCACTATCCAGGGGCCTTCCCATCTTCCAAGCAGAAACACGAGCGAGTTGAAGCTGCCGCCGGCCCTGAAACCGACCGCGATTCAGCGCACGGTTCCACACCACCCATGGCTGGACCTCATTCCTTTCCCGTACATGCGGGATACCCTGATCCTGACCCAGGACTTCATCGACGAAGAGCAACTCTGCCACGATTTGTCTGGTCAGGGAGCGTCTGGGGTCCTGCACTCTGGCCGAGAGGTAGGGATCGGCGAGACGGGTATCCTCGTCTGGAAGGATCCCTGGGATCCGTCCGGCTGGGAAGTCACCGAGACATTTCTCCGGTTATGGGGGTGGACTGTCCGGGACTGCTGGGACCTGTTCCGTTCGACGAACGCGTGGCGCAGTCGTCGCGGGGAGAGACCGCTATTTGCGATTCGTGAGAGCGACGACCGACGACCGAACTCTACTGTAGAGAAAATATGATACATAGCATTTTTAGTCTAATTTCAGACTGTAGATGCGCTGGACATCTTCCCCCTCGATGCAAATCACCCGGTCTCGTACAACAGCCTCCACCGCCTGGTCGATTCCCTGATCTCCCTGGACGAGATCATACCAGCCACTGGTGTCATCACGGCTCAGTAGACTCACTGCAACGGACGCAACATCTCCAATAGTCACCTGGCCCACGGCTTGTGTCTTCCCAAGCTTTACCTTGCCAGTTGCCGGGCTTGTCAAGAGCCAGCTCGGCCGCAAGCTGATGGCCTGCAGGCCGGGGCTGCCCCGGAGCTCCCGCTGCCGGGCAACGGCAACCAAGTGCTCGTCCGCTTGCAACTTGGAATCCTTGACGCTCGGATAGGAGTTGGACTCCCAGAGATATTCCTTGATGTCCCGCTCGTCCCACCAGGGTGCAGGATGGGCGCGACGCGGGGAACGAAATCATCAGGAACTTGCGCACATAGTCGGCACGGCCGGACGCCTGAATAATCCGTTGTGCAACATCCCGATCGATCTCGTAAGGATTGGAGAAGGAACCTGGGTGGTTGTTGTACCGGTTACTCAGTCCAATTTTGAAGAATACTGGGCCAGAGACTCACCAGCCGCGAAAACGACACAGTTTGGTTGGACCTTCTCAAGAAGCCGCGTTGCATCGTCAGGGGATTCAATGTGTCTGAGATCACAATGAAGGACATCTAGACGGCCGGGTCCGTGGGCGCCCAGCCGCAGAATGTCTAATTCCTGCTGGGGGTTTCGAATTACGCTGGTGACATCCCAGGACCGAGCCACCATCAAACTCGTCATCGCTCGGGCAACTCGCCCGTTGCCACCGAAGAGTAGCACTCGAAGGTTCGAGATTGACTCTCTCGTTGCGGTAGTCATCCTATGACTTGTGGATGGTTGACGGAAAGATAGCTGGAGGCTGCGTCTTGAGGCACCTTGACGGACGGGGGGGGGGG